CTGGGGCATGGGAGGGGGTGTGGGGTGCAGGCTCTGGGAGGGAGGTTGGGTGAAGAACGGGGCTTGGGGTAGGGGCATGGGAGAGGTTTTGGGGTACCGGATCTGGGCAGCGCTCACCGCATGCGGCTCCCCGCAAGCGGCGACATGTTCCTACTGCTCCTAGGCAGAGGTGCGGCCAGGTGGCTCCACGGATTATCCCCACCCCGCTCCAAGCGCTGACTCTACATCTCCCATTGGCAACAGTCCCCAGCCAATGGGAGATTCAGAGCTGTGGGGGCAGTGCCTGCAGGTGGAGGCAGCACACATAGCCGCCTGGCGACGCCTCCACCTAGAAGCACTAGTGACAGGTCGCTGCTTGTGGGGAGCCGCCAAGGTGAGTGCTGCCCAGATCCGGCACCCTGAAATGCCAGTTCCTAGAGTTTTCCGGTTTATAAAGTGCTGGAAAACACAGTTTTTACTGTACCTTGAGTATCACAATTCCTAAAAATGTTTTAATTCTCTATGTGACAGCATCAGCAAGTCTATGTCAAAGAGAGCTAGAACTTTTCCATCCTTCACGAATCTGTTGTACACCCATTGTAGTCTAGCTGATGGGTCTGTCAGTGGCTCTATCAGCAAGTACAATAATAAACACAGCTTTCTGTATGGATTTCTCAGACACTTCCCTAAGGGAATGACTGACAAGGAAATTTAGATTTCTATAATTCTGGAAAACATGTTTATGTTTATTATAATCCTTATTTTAGCATATTCTTCTATGCCACATTCTTTCTGATTACTTGGCCCAGAGCCTTCAGTTGGTATTAACATATACCTCTGCAAAAAACAAACAAACCCTCCTTACTCCTGAGTCAGATCAGTTTTCTTTGCTCCATTCTCAGTTAGTCCCTCTGGGCACCCTCCCATCTGGCGAGACTAGCAGTTCTATGCTGCTCTCCCTGATGTCACTTCCCCTGCGCACAACTTCCCCTGCTCTCCCTGATTGGCAAAGAGGCAACATGAAAAGTTTCCAGCCCAGATAGCACTTCTATTTGTCCCTGGGTTTCAACAGGATCCTGGTGTGTACTTACTTCAAAAGTTTTTCAAATGCATCCAAAAAGTCTTCACTACTCATCAAGACACAAAATATATTTCTCCTGATGTCCGTGTTCATTCTCTGCTTACGAGCAAGCTCCAGTATCTTTGAACTCATCTGAAAAGAAACACATTTTTAAAGAAATATTTACTAACTATGCATTTCATTTTGCACTTGCTATAGGAAACCTATTTCGGTGAAACTTTTCTGATATGATTATATATACATACCTTGAATGAGTTGTGAAGCAACAATCCAAAGACCTAGTGCCCTTACCACTGGAGATGAACATAAGGAGTATCAGGACTTGGCCTCCAAGCAGTGAGATCAGATAACTGACCAGCGAAACTGGACTGAAAGTGATGAAATGAGCAGTCCTTCTCTAAGAGGCCATGCCCTTCTCACCATATTTCTATGCACTTTTAAAAACAGTTCAACCATATGATTTCTAGGGGGACAGCTGGCCCTACCTATAAGGCTACAGACTGTGGAATCCATTTCCAATTTGAGTCCGCCTTTTCCATTTCACCTTACAGTGCACCACAAAATCTTTTACAAATCCACAAGGTTGAAGAGAGAATTTCAGGGCCAGGGCAAGCGTAAGTCCAAATACTAACCACAGTATCACAAGGATATTTGTTCATGGTTCTCAAAGACAAAATTGCCTTGGCACTTTGAATGATTAATAGCAGTCGTCATATTTACCTTTCCTACAGGCAATTTGTGCTGAGTCTTGCTGTTAGTACTATCAATCATTGGTGCTCCGCTCCAAGATGACCCTACTATCCACCAACGGCCAACCTGGTCAGCACTGAGGAGAGATTCCAATGACACACGAAGTTGAGTCTCTCTTCCAGAGCCACTGTTATGAACCTTTTATAACAATAAAATGTTTTCAGTTCCAAAGAGACTTTTTTTTCCTAACAAATTATGCCATGATCGAAAACCTTTAACAAGTTTCCCGACTATGCTCTCAGACGTTTCTCCCCACAACCTCTCTCTCCAAACAAGATCTGCCAAAATCAACATACTTCTCATTTATTTTGATTTACATCACAAGAGAGTGCCTAAATCCAGGAGCTCTTGGCATTTTTAAAAAAATGAATTCCAACCAAAAAGACAAATCCAATGAGTTGGTGGATGGAGATAACCTAACACCTTCGTTCAAATTCTAATTTGGAGTTGCAAGTTAAAAATAAACTGTACTGTCCTATTTTCTAATGAACATTTTTGTTCACATAAAATTACCAAAAGTTTTGGAACAGTTAATACTTGATCAAGAAACGAGTGGAAGGGAAGAGATGTTACAAGTGCACTAGCAGAGCTGTGTAAAAAGGTTCTACAGCACCTGCTTGCAACATGTCTGTCTCTAGCCTACTGTATTGAATTCCTGACATATGTGTAATGTATTTACACAAATTTCAGAAAAAAAAGCCCAACGGTGAACCAGAAGAGTGGCTTAATGGTGTAAGCCTCAGGTCGGAGATACATGGACTCTCTAGAGCCAAACTAAAATCCTGAGGAGGGTGGCAGCTTCTCTACCTGCAGAGGTACATATTTTACTATGTGGGGTTTTCCAGGTAAGATCTTAAAAATTAATGGCCTGATTCTCATAAATGCTGAGCATTCACAAATCCTGCTGAAGTCAATGGGAGTTGCAGGAACTCAACACCAGGGATGATATCTTGGTCTGTTCTGCACAAACATCAAAAGATCCCACAAGCACAGGGATTTGTCTCAGTGTCCTTGGATAAAAAAATGTCTTCTTTCTCTAAATGTTTTGCAGCGTGTTGGGCGCTGACTAACATCCAGAGATGGCAGCATTTCAGTGGTGTTCTCTGTATACAGTCTGTAAAGTCATTTGGAATTCATGGGGACAAAAGGCACTTTTCACAATGTATTGTTCAACCTGCACTGTTACACAAATTCCAAAATAATATTAGCAGGTCATCTGGTCTACACTATATTACTAGTAGCTTAAAAAAGGATCTTGCAATTACTTCCAAAAGTATGATTTAGTGGAAGTAACAGTGCCCAATAACATACTAAAAAACGTTTTTACCAGTGTTCTCTGCAGCTTGCGCAGCTTCTCAACTGGCTCAGGGTCATACCCTGGGATTTTCCGCATGTCATTGTTTTTTAGTGCCAGCATAGTCTCTAGCATAAAGCGAATCTATGGGTAAAAGAAACAACATTTTTCCAGCGTGTCTACCATACTGTTATTTAACAAGTGGAAAATTTATCTTGAATGTATTACTGCGCATGCATAAGCATCTCACCTAGCAATACATTCTGGAATCTAGATTATGACACCACAAATAAAGAATACTAGCTAAAAAACAATATTCATTTTAACTCCCACTACATGTTTTTGTACTAGGTTTAGATTCCAATTTAATTTTGCTAAACAATACCACAGCCATTGAATTATTTTGGACTTTTAAGTGTACAAACTGTATTATTCCAAGAAGTAGATGCATCATCATTTGCATAACACACAAAGCAGACAGCTATTTCAGGGCATGCTGGTGTCTATGCTCTGAGAACAAACTTCTAAGTGCACATTATTTTCTATATGTTAAGTAAGCTAATGCAACAATAATCTCATTGGATGCTAACACTATCTTAAGGTCTAATCAGACTATCGCATGAAACAATTTTAGTAGATAAACTTAATACAAAAATTAAACAATTTGGCAAATTAACAGATTTAACCAAGTCCCTGATTAATTCTGTTCATGCTGGGAAGTTTGTGCCCAAACATATCCAAAATGCATACATACCCTAGACTGGTCCTCAAATTTCTTCCCCACAGCATTTGCTTTGTTCTGGGCCTCACTAATCAGATCCTTCAGGGCCAAAGCATCATCTTTTCTCAAGGAAAATCCCACATTTTTCAAGAGGAGCAGAATCAGTTCAATGTCCTTTTCTGCAAAACTGCTAACAAGCGTCTTGAGAATATCAAAGATCAGCAGCGAATGCACTACATGAAAGTTATACAGATGGCCAATCAAGGCAAACAGGTTATCGCATTCTTTCCCTTCAGCGTCACTTTTATAGAATTCATCAAATTTCCTCACCACAGCTTCCAAAAAGTGAGCACCAACCTGGCAACAGTTGTATGAAAAGAAAAAGAATATTAGAAAGCAATTAAGCATTTTGCATATGTGGATTTCCCCCCCTCGATTTTACCTGCAAAAAGCATAAGCAATGAGAAACAAACAAAAAAAATTAGCTTATAGGAAAACTGTTGTTCCCATCAGCCAACACTGATTTTCTGTATTTAAATATTCCAAAGGACTCTAAGCTATCGGTTCCATACATATTTTTTAAGATGCATATTATTTGCCTGGTGTCCATTTCACTTTATTTGATATTATATATTTACACATGTAATCCAGTTACCTTTTTATTCCTTTATTTGGTAGTAAAAGCAGGTTTGATGAAATCAAGCTAAGGACTTACTAGAAAAGATTTGTTTAAACAAAAAAAACTGGAAACATTTCTCACTGCAACATAGATTGCTATGCTCCCAGCTGCCAGACTAACGGTACTCATTATTACTCATAGTTAAGGTTACGTTTTAGTCACGGGAAATTTTATTGAAAATCATTGACAGGTCATGGACTGTAAACAAAAATTCATGGCCCGTGACCTGTCCATGACTTTTACTATATATCCCTGACTAAAACTTGGGGGGTGGGGGGAGAGCGCGCTGTCCAGGGGCAGTGTGTGTTCTTAGGGTGGAAGGGTGGTGCCATGCAGCCCGGGAAACCCGCTGGTGCTGGACTGATCACCTGTCAAATATTAATTTTTTTTAAAAATGAGTTACGCAATTTAAAAAACTGTGTTATTATAATGTTA